AAAAGTTCTTGTCGAAATTGTGGTAAGAGATACAGTACAGTAGACCTGCGTATAGTATAACATGGGTTCACATAACACGAATTCGTATAATATTATGCAAAAATTGTGCCTGTATAACATGGTGAAAAGGACTCGTATTACACGGTGCATAAGTTTACATTTTCACAGTGTACCAAAGTTCCCCTAACTGATGGTACACTATATTATATGGTAATTGTTTTATGGTGTAATACTGTAAGGGACCAACGGTGTTCATAGGCAAAGCTTATCATAGGCAATCGCACTTCTGTCGAAACTATGGGAAGAACTAAAATTGTAATATAAATGTTAAAAGTTTAATTGTTTCTTTTACTCTGAGTAAAATATGTAATGACAAAATATTTTAAATTTTAATATTTGATTTAAAGTGAAATGAAAAATATTTTACTGTTACACCTTAAATATTTATTTCACATTTTGTATAATAAACCTTTACATCTTTTATAAATATATGTTTCGAAATACATGATCCATTATTTGTATAACCTATGTGATACGTATAATACGGAACGTATCTCTCGTGCTATACGGGGGTCTACTGTATTGCAATGCGAATATACTACAATTCTTTTAAGGGTATGCAGTGTGATGCTTGGAAAAAAATTTAAGTAAAATTGTGTGGCAAGCAACTTCATGGTTCAGTAACGGTAATTTAACATTTAACATTTAAGGGGGAGTATCATCCTGAGGCCTCTGAAAATAGATAAAGTTTGGGAATTTTTTTTGTAGGTAACTACTAAATGAAAAGTTTCAATTTTTCAGAGAATGTAAATGTAACTTTCAGCTTCTTTCTCCAATTTTGTAAAAGCAAAAATGTTACAAAATGGAGGAGTTATTCGCTAATTGCAAAATCTCTTCTGATAGAACATTGATTGCTATCTACCATTCCCGGCAAGAATTGGAACGTCTGAAATAAAAAATCCTTTTTGATTTACAAATAAAAGCGTATCATCTACAATGTAGCGTATGATTTTCCGAAATTGTAATTACTATAGAAATGGTGGCAATTTGAAGAGGAAAAAACACTTTTTGCCAAAAGAAAATCAACTTTAACCGTTTATAAAAATTTAAATAACTGAGATATCGAAAAATTCGTAACCTATATTGCAGATAATATTGTTATAAATTTTTATTTATAAATCAAAAAGAAGTTTTTATTTCAGACGTTCCATTCCTTGTCGACAATGGCGGCCAGCAATTGATGTTCCAGCAGAAGAAGTTTCGCAATAATTCCTCCGCTTTTATACATTTGTACCTTTTAAAAATTGGAGACAAAAGCTGAAAGTTACATTTATGCCCTCTGAAAAATATTGAAACTTTTCATTCAGTAGTTACCTATGAAAAAAATTCCCAAACTTTTCCTTTTTTTTTAAACGCATCAGGGTGGTGTACCCCTTTAAAGATCACAGCGACGTAATAGATAGCAGTAATAAGAACGCAATCTCGTACACTATTCCTTATTACGGTTTCTTATTTAAAAACGTATAAAATTATTTATGACAGAAGAACAGAAAAAAATACCTTTTCCGTGTAGTTAGTTAATTTTCTATCATCCATGAACCAAGATAACTTAGCTGGTGGCCTTGAACCAACAGTCATACAATTAATGTCGTATATTCTATCGGCGCTAAGAGGTGAGTGTTCATTGCTCAATATTGTTACACTTAATGGCATCACTGAAAAGTAAAAAAAAACCATGTAAAAATATGTTCATATTTATTCTATTGGACATGAATTAATAATGTGATTTCATATGCGATGACTTAAAACTACTGAAAAAATAAATTAACTTTGCCTTCGTCTTATTCTGTTATTGGTTTTAGGTACACCCATAATTACAAAGTAGAAAAGAAGTAATAACAATAAGGTTCCTTTTTCCATTCAGGAGAATGTAAAGGAGATTCCAAAGTTTAATAGAACTTTATGTATTCAATATACAAAAGTGTAGCCTATACCTAGTTTCATTCAGTCACTGCTGTTACTTAACCCTAGAGCGGTCTTCCTTTTGACTGTACACTTAAGACTTTTGGGTGAAAAGGGACCTAAGACCTTATGTGCAATAATTTTTGTTTCCAACGCGACATATGAACCTAGACGACAAACGTTTAAAATAATGTTAAGGAACGTAAACTTGATAACAGCAGAAATTACTAAAAATGTAAAAAGGGGGCGGGTCAAAAAAGACCCGAAGACCGCTCTAGGGTTAAGGTCAGTTGATGTCGTAGGTAAGGAAAATCAGTTTCATCGTTGTAATTACATTTATTTCGAACATTCTGATATGATTCGTTTGTTATAATTTGAACAGATGCCTGAGATGTGTCGATTATTGCGATACAACAGTGTTTCCTTACCTAGGATCTTGACTCACGTTGAATGACTACGGTTAACGAATTCACTTGATTGTGGACCACATTTGCATATATTAGGAAAGCTTTAAATCTTGAAGTCTCATTGATACTTCAATCTTGAAGTCTCATTGAAACCTCGATTCTCCAAAACACACAACTTTATCATGCTTTTCTGTATCTCACACTGCACAGTGCATACAAAATTTTGAAGATACTTCCTGAGTAACACAGATGTATTTTTAATTTCCTCGTTAATGTAGTTGCAATTATTATGTGCTGTTAACTTTTCTCTCAGTTTTTGTTACATATTATTTGTATTTTATCAGTTTGCATTATTCAGTATTGACGCTTAAATGAAACATCGTAACGTAAAGGAGCTTACAGTGCATTTCGATTGCCACAGAGGCAGAAACAGGTTGACTAATATTGTTGTTAGCTGCTTGACAGGTAAAAACTGCATGAAGATCAGCTCTTGAAAGTTCTTTAACTGTTAAAGTGTTTCTACGTAAACCAGGAAATTCCCCTCGTTCATCTTTCGAATCAAGAAGCATTTCTCCACGCCACCACCTCACTTTTGGTTCTGGACGACCTGAAAAGTAACACGGAAATTTTTAAATCTCAACTGTGTCCGACTTATTATTAGTTTTTGTGAACATGTAATATTTTAAGCAGCGAAAACCTTTTTATTATTTTCAAACGAAACTTTCAAAATGCAGTTGTATTACGAGATATGCGGGGTGGGGCAAGGCGAATGGCACATATAACCGGGCAGGGGATGATTCTGCATGTAAAAGTAAACCGAAAATAAAGAATAAAATTATTTCATAAGAAGCTTAGTTTTCGAGAAAAATGAATTTAAACATCCCCTACAAACTGTCGTTTCCGCTAACACTTTTACGTTGATAAACAGCGGTGACGACACATCTCGCAAAGAAATAGCGTAAATCTTCTGCAGCTCGAAGGAAGAATTATACAGGCTTTCGAAAAATTAAAGCGTGAAAACACCATCCACGACTCTTTGATTCGAAAAGTAAACATTTGTATGCGTCAACAAGGACGTCACTTTTAACAGTTCGTTCAGTAATATACATGTAAAGTAATGAAATCATTAATAAACGTATTAATAGTAATTAGCGTGGCACTGACACTGCTTATTAGATAGTCAAGTGCACGCGTTCTTAAGGGGGTCTCCTAGTGTGACGGCCGTTTTTTTAGGCCTCTTTGCTAATTTATTACAGAAGTACGGTAACAGTTATTAACATGAGCTTTATTCCTATGTATTTACTTGTCCTTGAAGAATCATTACAAATTTTTGTTGTTGAAAAATAAGTAAATATGGCTGCTGTGGAACACGTGAAACAGGAGCATGAAAAAAAAAAAGTAGGTCCATGGTAGCCATGACTTCAGCTGTTCTGCTTATCGACAATAAAAAAATCCAATTGATTCTTATTTAGAATGCATGTCGCTGTGGTCGGTAGTAGAATAAAAGAAAAATATTGAAAATTAAAAAAATGGCGGTACTTTGAATACGAAGTATCGATTTTTTCGACTCTTTTTCGTCTTTCAGAGGCTCTAAAAGTCAGAAAAATATATATTTTGGCATAATTCTACTAACGACCATAGCCACGCATGTTCTGAAGACATGTGCAAAATTTGAGTTCGTTTGGTTCAGTAGTTTTTGCCAGATCGTGGCTTGGCGCTTAACGTGTTAAGTGCAGAGGATTAACGTCTTTTTCAGCTAACAAGTGTTCAGAATTACATAAATCCACAGAAACATTTACACGCATTGATTAATCGGGTTCTGAATATCTAAAAATACAATAAAATTGTCATTAACGAAGAGTAATCACGTACAGTAATTTATATCCACTTTGTCGCTCAAAAGTTTCTGCCCTTTACAAAAATTCCAGAGAAGACACTACTAACTTCGTTATGTCGTATTATGGAATAATTCAAATAGGAGTGTGGGTATGGAAGTTTCATGTATACGATCTTTATACAATATGAATATAGAGTGTTTTACCAATTCTGACCAACACGAATATCTTCATATTTTCAAGTAATAAGCGAAAACATTATTTACAAAAGTTGCACGGTTGCAAGACCACATGTGGTGAAGTGGACACTAGAAAAATTAGAGGAGCTTGACGAGTAACAGTGTAAATTAACCAGCGAGTACATTTAGTTCCTAAACGTTGTTATTAAAATCACTCCCGTATCTCTAAACCATTTATGTGAGATTTACCTTTAAATAATCCCTGTAATAGGTCGAGATGAGCAAAGTAGTATGGTTGGTCGTACATAAATTTTACTTTCACAGACCACCTTGATACTCGTAAGCCATTTCGAGGGTATTTTGTTCCTTAGGGAGGGTAATAGAGCCTGTCATGGACTTTTTTAGAGGAAACGAAAACAAGAAGTAACTATTAGGTTCTCCTAAAAGTTCTCGCTGTTTTAAGGGGGTATTCTAGTCTAGACTTTTGAAAAAAATCGATTTCTTTTTTTTTACATTTTCTGAAAGTAGACATTTGCAGAAGTATAACTGTCGTAGGATTTTTCCGAATTTGTAAAATTGACGAAGTTATAGATGGTTAAAGTAAGTATACCATTCTCGTGTAACTGGTATGAGAAACTTTAAACGCGTTTTTCTCGAAACCATGTTTTTCTAAATGGCTGACATGATATCTCAAGTTCTAGTTGTCCGATTGACTCCAAATTTTACATGCACCTTCAGTGGATGTGTCGTTATCGTCTGACCCAGAATTATGCCAAAATATGTATTTTTCTGAATTTTAGAGCCTCTGAAAGACGAAGAAAAGTCGAAGAAATCGGTATTCGAAATTCGAAGTGCCGCCATTTTGTAAATTTTCACTATTTTTTTTCCATTCTGGTTCACACCATAGTCACAGTCGTACTAATCAAGAATCCTTTTGGCTTTTTCATTTCGGATAAACAGAAAGGGCGGAATCGTGTCAGCCAGTAGGACACTTCTTTTTAAAGGGACCGCACTGAATGATATATAATTCCGACAGTTTTGATTATTTTCACTTGAAAAAAATTGTGAACTTTCTTAAAACATGAATGAATATGTATGCAAAATGCTGATACTGAGAAACTTATACTTTCCTTACAAAAAAATCCCTAAGGACTAAAAAATGACACTCTAGACTAGAATACCCCCTTAACTCCTTATTATGTCAAAATAATTTCCACAATATAAGCAGAAAACTGTAGCGAATTAATTCCGAAGTAGATCACTAAACTGTGAACAAGATTTTTTTCGGGTGTAAAATAGGTTTGGATAGGAGAGATTCATTCGCGTCTTTTTCTCTCTTAGAGATTCAGGTTATTATGTACGCACGTGAATGCTCCTGTAATACGTTGACAAAAGTGAAATTATTTTAAACGAGAATGTTTAATTCCAGTGGTGTTACGTTTTTTCAAAATGAACGGTTTAAAACTACGTAAACTTTCAGGATGACTCAATACGTAGCATAACTACTGTTGAGCAAAAATTGGACCAAATTTATGCTACTACACGCTGTCTTAACTCGATATAGCTAGTGTTCTCAATGGTAAATTGTACGTACAAAGGATTGCTTCTTCTCGATTTAGGGTTTACAATTTGCCGTATACGCGAGACTCTTCGTTCCATTCGGTTCACGGAACTTTTCGGTCTTTCCGCAAAGAGTAGGAGATATGCGACGACTCCACGCGGAGGAAAAACTTGGAGTTGTGAGAAGTCTTGTCACAGTTCATTGGAGGTTGGTTCTTTCAAACTATTTCATTGGTTGGACCTCTGATCTATGGATAATTAGGAAAGGAACAATGGAAGGGAATGAAAGAGAAAGAGGAAGGAGAGAAGGAAGATCAATAATACCGTTCCGAATTTGTTGACAAAACTTTTCAAAAATCTGAACAATTTACGGAGTTTCGTAGACCTGCTGTCCTGGAAAATATCAGATTCCACCAAAACTCTACGTGGTAAATAATCCATCAGATATATGGGAGGTCTAGGTCTGCTGCAGTGAGTGATCCAATTATTATGATCAGATTAAAAAGTTGCATATTTTATGTTTTCGATAATAGTAAAATATATCCTTTCGTTTTGTTCTTGACACATAGATAGACAACTTGATTATATTTTGACAGCTTACCTAGCTAAAAAGAAGTTTAAATTCACCGCCTGGCAATTCACCGGATATGAATGCAATAGAAAACCTATAGGAATGATTAAAACGTGGAATTGCATCAAGTGATAGAGAAGCATATATCGATACGGTATTATGACGCGGGAATAAAAGAAAGCTGCAGAAAAAAGTATCGAAAGTAGCAATTATAGATGGGAATGATGGCTTGACGAAATATCGATATTTGTATTTTTGAAAATTTTCAATAATTCGTAGAAATGTTAGAATTCTCTTTAAGTATTATTAGAAACGTAACAGTACATTTTGTAATAAAAAAAAGGTTTTACTTTAAGTCTTCCGTTCGTGTTCGTAATAATTTGATCACCCACTGTATAGATATTCTGTTGCATCGCAGCAACTATTGTTCGCATGTGATGATTTTACCACATTTTTAGTCCTTTGTAGGTTGATTAACCCTTTCGCTCCGAAGGGCGTATATATACGCCCTCGAAGAATGAACATTTGTATACGAAGAGCGTATACATACGCTCTCGAAAAGTGGGCGCTCGGGTACGAAGAGCGTACATATACGTTCATACCATATATACTTTTGTTTCTTTTTTGTTTTTGCGACAAAATAAACGGTTAAGTCTTCCGTTCGTGTTCGTAATAATTTGGTCACCCACTGTATAGATATTCTGTTGCATCGCAGCAACTATTGTTCGCATGTGATGATTTTACCACATTTTTAGTCCTTTGTAGGTTGATTAACCCTTTCGCTCCGAAGGGCGTATATATACGCCCTCGAAGAATGAACATTTGTATACGAAGAGCGTATACATACGCTCTCGAAAAGTGGGCGCTCGGGTACGAAGAGCGTACATATACGTTCATACCATATATACTTTTGTTTCTTTTCTGTTTTTGCGACAAAATTATCGTTTGTCAAATTTCATTTAAATCTTATAAGACAGATGTTATCGCGTCACGAGTATTTCCGCGACTATAGTATGACGCGGACTTGGAACTGGTTTTCTTTTAGTGGATTCCAGTGAAGTCTTTCGAAGTATGCAATTGGATAGTGGACTGTATGAATTTTTGATTGTATCAAACACAATATTGAACAACGATATAGGTTTATTATAACTAGTTTAACGAGATATGTACAATACTGATGTCTGTGTCGAATGTATATCGAAAGGTATGATGGGTTACGAAAATAATAATAACGTTTGAGTGTGTTCGTAGCGATCATATTTTGTCACAAGCGCGCCGTAGCGAAAAGGTTAATCAACGATTGTGAATTTCTTTTGCGAAAATTCGGTGGAAACAATCGTGTAGTGCTTATGTATCTTTGCTGGACAATCCGCGGTGTGTGTACCTGTGAATTACTTACGTTCACGTGCTTGTGTGTCGCAAAGATATTAATCCTCTCCGTTCGAAAATCCCATATAGAGGGTTTTGATATGCTCTCGCGGGCTCTGTACGAGTAGACCGGTTTAATGTTTTATTGATGATTTTCTTTATAAAGTGTTGGCCAGGATCGTTTGTGAAACTGAATATCGAAAGGTTCCCTTCCGTAGCTTCTGCACGGTAAGCTGGAAACACCATGCTCCATTAAATTTGACGGTGTCACATGCGTAACAGACATCGCTCGAGTACCGGTAGACCTTTAGCGCAATAAAGGAAACCGGCGAAAATTCCGTATTAGAGCGCAATCTTCCACCTTCAATGGAACAGTATTGTCCTTAGGATCTCTGGACACCTCAAAATGAGTTTCATAAATTTGTCTTTTTCACAATTTCTGAAAATTACTGCGAGGTGAGAAAGAGTCCGTACACGTTCTCTGAACTGTTTAGGGAATATTTATAACTATTGATGAAATTGAGCGAAGGAATTTCTTAGATTTTACTTTTGCAAATTCCTTAATTTAGTATTTAAAAGTGTATCGATTTTCTCAATCTTCTTGAAACAAGAGTGCATCCATCGAGCGGACTGCATCGCGCTATAATTCAGTTATTCTAATTAATAGCTGTTCAATTTCCAGCATTGGGAAGTGGTTTCACTCTCTAAGTATGAACGTTTACCAATGAAAAAGAGCACCCGATATTTTCAGATATTCCAACTATGTGCAAAGTTTGACGAAAATGTTCCTTGTTAGAAAAATAATTGCGAAACAAATTATTTCTTGTTGGGCAAAGAACTACTAATCAAATGTATTACTCTACCTATAGCACTCCAATGGCTTCAAATATCTATCTAAATTGGTATGCAAGACGATAGTTAATGGCTTATTCATACATCCATTTCCAAATAAATTCGATGCAAAAAGTATAATTGTTGCAACGCAACGTATAGACTAATTAAGATTTCGCGTATTTTTGAAAGATTATTGTTCCAGAATTTTTATTTATTCGACGCCTTTAAGTTAGATGCACGAGCCCAGAAAGTGTTTTATGGACACAGAAACCTTTCGTTACTGCAGTTCATACACCTTGATGGTGGCTGATTTGTGCTAATTCTGGCCGTTCGAGAATTACTTATCAACTTCTATCACAGTTAAATTTCTAAAATTATAAATTATAAAAGTTCGTAACTTTCACGACCATAAGTATATAATATACCTACTTATGTAAACTGCTAATGTAATAATTTTTTATTATAATGCAAAAAATCAAAATTCCAATTTATCCGTATTTTATAATTCAGCCAAAAGTATCGGTATACAAATTTACGTGATAATGGATTAATATTTTGCATGAAAAATTTTTAATATATTACTTAAACAAATAGATTTTCCTAAAAAATAATTAGGCAGGTGTATTTGTCGCTGAGAAACACATAATTTCTTGTTTAAACCATTGCTCTATCTCTAATAGTTTCTGAGATATCGGACAAAATAGGTTTTGACACACCTTTGGGGGCTATTTTCACCCCCTCAGCATGAACGATGGCAGATAAAGAGAAATAAGTGTTACATATTTTTTCAAGAACTACGTCATACGTAAATTTCATCAAAATCGGTGAGTGACACTTGTTAATTTTTCCCTTATAATTTTGAAGAACAAAAACGAATCAAATTTTAATGAAATGTACAATGACAACGCCCTACAATGATATGTGCTTTTGGAAATTTTTGGAAAAGATGAAATGAATTTAAAACAAAAGACAGCTTAATTTTTTCTATTAGTTAAAATATATTATATCATAATATCGTCCGCTTTATGCCAAAGCCATGAATGTGCAAAATTTCACTTTTTGGGTAATGGGGGTAATCAAAAATTACTTCATAATTAAATTCAAGTTTCAAGCACAGATTAATATTTGCAAGAAAATTTCGAATATTTTCATCTCCAGAATTATTCGATTACATTCTGCATTTAGTTGTGAATTTCCGTAATTTATCGAATCGCACATTCATGGTATTGGCATACATAAGGGCGACGATATATTATAGCAATTATGAAAAATGAAATGAGTTGTCGGAAAATTATCGGCAATGAAAAAAAAACTGCCGTACAAAACGTCCGCCAGAAGAAGTACGACATAATTACATGCCAACAGATCAGCAGGCGAGTGAAATTGGACCCCGGGTTGAACGTGTTAAGAACTCGGAACTTTCAGAGTAGGCGGTGTGTTCAGGGACCAAGGAGAACCCTGATTTGCCTATCATGTCACTGCCCATTACCATAGATTTAATACAAAAAACATAGACCCTTAACGACCGGAGTTGTTGGTTGTTAGTCAGTAAGTGAGTTAACCAGTCAGTTAGTCAGTTGGTAAAACACAGACAACATAGCAAATGGCTTTCCACACTTTTAAAGGCCGTGGAAACTGAGTTGTAGTTGAAACTTTTCGAGACAAACCATCCTAAACGAAAGAAACTCCACGAACTGCCTTCAATCATCGGTCGCACAAAACTAATTCAGGGTGAAACGGTGTACGTTATGGTACGCCACAACAATTATTCCGCGTGCAAACAATCGTTTTATAAAGGAGACTTCGAGGGATGTAACGATATTTCTTCGACTGTTCGAAGTAAAATTTGGCTCAGAAAATTGCAAAATTGAAACTTCTTTTATAGTTTTTAAACAATTATTTACAGAGTAGAATTACTTACAGAGTAGAAACCTTCCTTAGTAAGGTAAGAAAAAATTTTTTCAACAATCAAAAATTGGCAACAAATTGGTTTACAGTCCTCCTTAGAATTCATTGTTAAATCTCTGTTCACTTAGAAAAGAGCATCCTAGAAGAAGCTTAGAAATCTGTATACGTATTATAAAAAGGGCGAGGAAACTCACCTCCAGATACAAGACACTGTAATTTCATGTCACCGCCCTCTTCGTATGGCCCTGTTATTGTTGACACAGTTTTCCCATGTTCATCGATGATATTTGGCTTGTGTGGTGGTACTGTAATAAAGAAGAATGAAAACATTTGTATCAGACACATCACTATCTGTTCTTACAATATAGAGTTGCAGAAAGAAATTGGGGATGGTACAACAATGCCAATCCACTGTGTAATAATTCTACAGGGTGGGCCACGTAAAACTAATGATCTTCTCTAGCTATGGTGGTGCGAGACAATTTTTATACGTAATTTAAATAGTTTCAAAGGGTGAACAAGATGGAAGAAAACGTTTTTCTGATTTATTAAAATATATATATAGGGGAGTTCCCTTAGCGCCGGACGCTTAAAGTTTTTCTCAAATAAATCTCTCTACCTGTGCACATGTGACTGAAACGCGTAGAAAACTTATTTTTATTCCTTTTATCTCCTCTAGGAGATACGCAGAATAACGGCTCGGTAGCGTTTCAATTATTGCAGATATAACTAATGTCCCATATTAGGTGTCGTCCGGCGTTAAGGGAACTCCCCCTATATATATTTTTCGTACAGTATATACACTACCGGCCAAAAGTTTGGAATCACCTCCCACCTTTCATCAATATTAAACCTGCTGCTAATTTTTTATAGATTTGAAGTTTATCTCAATTCTACATATTAAGGCGTATCCTGTAGCCGGATTTATGGCAGCGAGTCAAGTGGTCGTCGTCGCAGGCAAATATCGCTTTCTCAAAACACCGCAAGTGTTTATTGCGTTGCCTGCGACACTTAGTCCCTAGGAAGGGAAAAATAGAAAAGTGGCCCACGACTTTTGCCAACGTCGATGGGCCACTTGACTTTAACAAAGCCTAGAAAAGCGGAGATTCCACAGGATTCCCACGCATCCGTCCACCGAACACCTTTTCTCCGGCCGTTGTTTACCCCACCCTAAGATAACGCGCCAAGGGCGAAATGGAGGGAGGTTGCGATGCACCGGAGTAAACCCGCAGAGACTCCAGCAGAAACATTTGGCGACTCGCGGCAGAAACACTTTGCACCTCGCGGAAGAATCACTTGGCCACTCGTGAGAAACACTTGGCCACTCGCAAGAGAAACACCTCTCACTTCGCAATAGAATTTATATCTTGAATTAGTTGTAGAAAATAGAACATAAAATAAAAACTTAGTGTTTCAATCAAGAAACTGGTCATTCGAAGCCTTGGAACATTAGTCGGCACACACGTGCAAAAACCGGCAAAGCTTGAACGATCGAAAGATCAACCGCAAGCCCTAACACTACATTTATCAATTTATCTCATATCAATTGATTCGAACCTTAAAAAATTCTCAAAGTCGCTGACTTTTTTCTGGAAATTTTTGTGTAAATTGCAATGCTCAGTAATTCCTAACATTTGGCCGGTAGTGTATATATAGGTATTGCAGCGATGTGCATTTAAACATGCATAATAATGTGACCTCAATATTTTAAATCAAACGTGAAACTTCCTTTCATTTTTTACCATTTCTTCCCATCAAAACAATTATCCTGCCACTTTATTCAGTCTTTGAAACTATTTAAATTATGTGTAAACATTTTCTCGTACCGTCATAGCTACAGAAGATAATTAGGTGGCCTGTTTTACATAACCCACCTTGTGTTATAACGAATACGGATGGACTAGACCCAGGATTTGTTCAATCAACGTTTTATTCCTTTACTTCGTTTGCCTCGGCTGTACAATTGAAATTAAATCGTTGTTAAACGGGAACAGACCTCCATCAGTGTCAGTATCAAACGCTCGGTCCTTTTTTGTTTAATGGAATTGTTAAGGAAAAGTTTATTATGCTTTCCACATTCAGTTGGAAATTTACGTATTTATTACTGTATGATCATACAGAGGATCGTGCAAAGGCATTTTGTTGCGATATTGTCATGTTAATTACGTTTGTTTAAACCATAGTTGTATATTCTCTTCTTTGAAAAGTAACTGTTAAAATTCGAGGGTGAATCTAAAGTCAGGAAAATATGAATAATATTGTTGAATTCGTAAAATGTTCTGACCTAGTTGAGTGACTTTGGGTTAAGTGTTACGATGAATGCAGATATAGTCCTTAAATTGAAAAAAGTATATCAAGGAAAACATATATGTCGAATAAGTAAAAGAAAAACGAGCGAAGATAATATATCAGTTCGTTTCACAATGTTCACAAGGAAACATAAGATTGCATTAAATTCAGAAACAATGTGCGCTTAAATCGAACTTCATTTTTTATTTCAGGTCGAACTGATTCACTTAGAAAATAAATATTAATAAATATGTGAATATTATCAATTATTATCCAAAATATTTCTGTACTGTCAATGGTTTTAAGATATATTTCTCCTGGAAATGTCTTAATATTTAATATAAAGGGTGAGTCACATAACTTGTTTACTCCGAAAAACTTCCAAAGTATGTTCCAAAAAAGTGTTTATAAAGAATTTGCGCGGTATCGAAGGGAACATACGATACTAAAACGGTTTTTTAAAATCACCTATTTTTTTACGAGATATCAAAGTGATCTTGAGCTTTTGAAATGGAAGCGTACCTTTTTGTATCAAAATTTAAAAGAGCAGTGAATTTTCTATAAGGAAGTATTAAACTTTATTTGTCGATAGTGTGCAAGTTTTATATGTACATATGAAACACTTTTTTATAAAATACATGCTTTAGAAGTTATTCAAGGTTGATAAGTTACGTGTGGCTCATCCTGTATAAATAACAACTCGAACACAAATTCACTGGTTTTTATAATTTTCCAAGTGGACGCACATAATTTCTCGCAGTAACACAAACATAATTTCTAGTCACTGATGTAACCAGTTTGAAATGATAAATAATCGAAGTAACTGTTCTATGAAAAAGGGAGATACAGAATTTTAGGTTGTTCACCTAATTATAAGCTACAGATTGTGCCACCTTACTTCTTCTATTTATCGTTAGTAAATATATACGTACTGTATGTTTAATTAAAGCACTCGAAAGGGACTGTAACCTCATTTTGCAGAATATTCGCCTCCGACTGACCCGAATGAATTTGTTAAAGCTCGAAATTCATACCCTTACATGCCTAAAAAATTGTATTAATACCTTAGCGAGGATAGAATTACTTCAAGTCCAGGTCTTCGTTCTCTGCAGCGATGCTTTAGAGCAAACATCGGTGGAATAAGTATAGAGAGGTCGAAAATTAAAGCTACGCAGGTTCGGCACCTTATCTTTCTATCACATCATAAAATGCTCGAAACATGTTTACTTTGACTCGTGACCAATTTTTCGAGCTCGCTAAATTTGTTCCACCGACTATACCTATCTCAATAAACACAACCTCTGACCTCTTTTCCGTGTCTAAGGCGCAAGTATTTTAAGTAGCCTTAATACAGAATCTACAATAAATCTTTTTTCCATCCTTCCTTTTCTCTTCTTTGCAATCACCATAAAATTAAATACAGGGTGGGGCAAAAGTCCAGGCTCCACTTAGAGGCAACTTCTGAACCTTCTTGAAAATTTATGGAAAATATGAAGAAAAGAACGTATTTCTGCAATCAAGAAGTGACATCATGTTTCGCACTTAACATATTGCATCATAATTCTTTGTTGTCTTTATTTACATTCTCACTCATAAAAACAAATAAAAATGTCAAGGACTTGCGTGCCACCCTGTATGTATCTATTATTGGCAAAAGAAGGAATCGATTTTTTTCTTTTTCGCTCTATCCCGAGGATTATAGCAACAGTTTCGAACAGTCGTATTTCATCGTGAAAATTCTGAGTTGAAAACAACCGAGTTGGGGCACAGTAACATAATTTCGAAACATGTTTGTCACATATCCATTTTATCTTTTTTCTTCTTTGCGCGATAGTCCAAATGGAAGTGGTTCCTTTCGTTCAAATCGTAGGGAAACCATATATTTTCATCTTTTCAGGAGAAATCTGGTACTTCTTGTGACACCGGCATACGAATTCTAGCAGAATAGTGGATAAAAGACATAAAGAAACAGTGACGTTCATTTAATTGGATAAATGAATCATTCTTACAGGGAAATCTACGATAATCGGATAATTCTGGTGGATTTTTAACCCTTGCCGGTTTCTAGTGGACTTTGATAAAAGTTTCAGGTAATTCTTTTTCTTTCCTCGTTCTTCAGACTGAAAGCACCCTTTATTTTAATCTCAGGATATAAAGTGAATGTGCGAACAATCGCGCGGACGAGTATACGTCTATGTGTATTTTATTTCATACATTTAATACATTTCTGTTGTTAGCACATGTAACCACCACCTCTTTATTCTACTTAATGATTTGAATAACGATAAAATACGAGGTGAACCAGAACGTGTGGTATCATTTTTCTGATTTCTTATGTAAAAATAGAAATATTTCAACGTGAAGCTCTCCGTCTTCGAGGAAAGGGACTTTGAAAATTCGCGAGGAATAAAAATACAGTTCTACAGGGTACACTGGCTAAAGTTGTTCGCAAACAGTAGAAATATCGTATCCACGCTAGATTTCGCGAACAGTTGCAGAATTGTTCGCTGACTGTTCGTGGGTAGTTCTTTGTGGACCCTGCACATGTGCACGCGCAAATTTTGAAGCTTAAAAAGATGTCCGAAGAAGATCTATCGCTTGCATCAGTTGCATCTTTGGTAATCAAAAGGTATAGTTGCTGGAATCCGGGTACGAGAATAGACGTCGATTATATTCTTACAATATAATATTTATTTGCAACAGTGATACTCTGTACACGCGGATTTTTGCATAATAAGACGCGAATTTGGTGAAGAGAAGAAAATGTTGTATTCGCTGCGACGTGTGTTGGGCTAACTCTCCGCAAAGGGATTTTGTAGGTGTATTTATAAAGATGGAATTTTGGGGAGAAGGTGAATTTTGGCTCTGGTGACGAATTGTTGTAAAGGACTTTGAAGGGACAATCAGCGAGTTGATGAGTAACTTGTTTTTGTAGGGATACTATCTCTATCATTACATTACTATTTATAGGGTGACATATCAAAATTTTGTACAAAAAAAAAAGCGTTTCTGGTGGAGTAAGATTAACAAACGGTTTATTAAAAAAACGAAATAAGAAAGCGAAACTTCTCAGTTTGAAAGCGAAGTGATCGTTAAATTTGATGTACTGCCTCCCGAGCGAACACTACGGACAAAGTGTCCATATTGCCGGCGATCGTGTTCGCGAGTTGTTCGCGAACAGCAGTGTGAACGCGGCATTAGAAGGAACTGAAGCTATCGGAAAAATGTTCTTACAAAATTTGTTTGATACTATAGGGGACATAATGTAGCGTAAATGGTTTTCTTGTTGGTGAAGTAGCGGGTGAGATTTCAAGGTGTAATTAATTTTTGTTGAATGCATATTCCATGAGCTTACTTATCGTTTAGGCGTTTTTGTTTTTTTGAAGTTCGAATATGTGCGCCATCGATTAATGAGTGTCGTCCAACATTGATTTTTCTTTTGTTTTTCTTTTTAAGTGTCTCTCGTTTGTCGTCACGTGTGTGGGTTCTAAGAATTAGATTGGTAACTTAATTTGAGAGAAGAGAACACACTTTGGGAGGGTTCAATTGTATTGTAAGTAAATTTCATTTCGAATGGGATGAAATTTCTACTTAGTACAAAACATATTTTAATAAGGAACACCGTTAATGCATATATTTTCTATACAGATACATTCGTACAAGCTGCATTATCCATAGATGAATATGTTGAAAATGTGGCTTAACACTTTTTTAGTTGAACACGAGTGTTCAAATAAATGCCTGTGGCAATGTTTTGCGTACAAAGTACTGCTTACAACAATGTTTTGCATGTCGTACAGCGTAACAAACGGAAATACGTGCGTTTCAAAACTAACGCATTCCACAGTGTTGCAAAAACGAGAAATCACGCTTGCGAAAATGTACGTCTTCTCAAGAGCCCGAGCGAGCCACAATGTTGCAAACGCGTTACCGGGCTTGCAACTTTGTTACCGCATGTCGCTCCCGAAAATTGCACATTGTTGCAAAACGCGTTATCCGGGTTGCAACTTTGTTGTCGCGAAAATCTGAACATTGTTGCACGACGCGCCGTTTTGCAACAATGTGCAATTTTCGGGAGCGACTCTCGGCAACAAAGTTGCAAACGCGATTCTTCTTTGGCAGCTTTGTTGCCGGGAGTCGCTCCTGAAAATGGCACATTGTTGCAAAACGGCGCATCGTGCAACAATGTGCAGATTTTCGCGACAACAAAGTTGCGTACGGAGAGATCGCGCTTGCAACTTTGTTGCTGCGAATCGCTCCCGAAAATTGCACGATGTTGCAAACGCGTTCTGGGTTTGCAACTTTGATGCCGGGAGTCGCTCCTGAAAATGGCACATTGTTGCAAAACGGCGCATCGTGCAACAATGTGCAGATTTTCGCGACAACAAAGTTGCGTACGGAGAGATCGCGCTTGCAACTTTGTTGCTGCGAATCGCTCCCGAAAATTGCACGATGTTGCAAACGCGTTCTGGGTTTGCAACTTTGTGGTCGCGAAAATCTGAACATTGTTGCACGACGCGCCGTTTTGCAACATTGTGCAATTTTCGGGAGCGACTTTCGACAACAAAGTTGCATACGGAGAGATCGCGCTTGCAACTTTGTTGCTGCGAATCGCTCCCGAAAATTGCACATTGTTGCAAAACGGCGCATGGTGCAACAATGTGCAGATTTTCGCGACAACAAAGTTGCAAACCCAGAACGCGTTTGCAACATTGTGCAATTTTAGGGAGCGACTCTCGGCAACAAAGTTGCAAGCCTGGTAACGCGTTTTGCAACAATGTGCATTCGAAAATAATACGAATTGACGATGATACAAGCGAGAATGACGCTTGTAACAATGTTACGTTCAAGCGTAGTGCTTGTAATGTTTGCGTTCAAATATAACGCTTCAAGCAATGTTGCAATCAAAAGTACCGCGTACAACAATCGATGTTGCATTCGAGAATAGAGATTGCAACAATGTGTGCATTCAAGTTTCAAAGACGAACAGGGAAATAAAAGTATCTCGCTACTTAAAAATCACCGTTCAACGATATAAAAGTCGGCAACAAAGTTGCAAGCCCGGTAACGCGTTTTGCAACAATGTGCATTCGAAAATAATACGAATTGACGATGATACAAGCGAGAATGACGCTTGTAACAATGTTACGTTCAAGCGTAGTGCTTGTAATGTTTGCGTTCAAATATAACGCTTCAAGCAATGTTGCAATCAAAAGTACCGCGTACAACAATCGATGTTGCATTCGAGAATAGAGATTGCAACAATGTGTGCATTCAAGTTTCAAAGACGAACAGGGAAATAAAAGTATCTCGCTACTTAAAAATCACCGTTCAACGATATAAAAGTTCTTTTCCTGCTACTGCAACTGTGTCCCACACCTCGCTCAATTTGCAACCTCAACTCACACGGGAACAAAGGCTCCACGCAAACAAAACGTCATTATACATTCTCAACATATTTCTCCATCCCTATAAATAACCCCTCTACTAGTTTCTATACAGCGTGTTCGGCAACAGTTGATAGAAAATTTAGTGGGTGATTCCACCAGCCGAAAATGAAGAATAAGAAAATTACGAAAAAAATTACTGTGACGAAGATCAAGAATAACAAAATTACGTTTGAGGCTTCGTTTGTTAGCTATTAATGTTTAAAAACATCCCTGTGATCGAGTAAACCTCCCTAATTTAATAAAAATATGCCTATTCGTGCGATTTTCTATACCTATATTTTATATTAAAAATAATCACATAAACATATCGTATTGTCTCATAAGTGTTACAAACAGATTCATATTTGCAACGAAACTTCATATTTCTTCACTGAATAGCGAAACAAGTATTTGTTTGGATAAAGCTGAGGAGAACTTTCTTTTTATTTATATTACAATTTCTAAACAATTTCATCACATGGTTTTGTTAAGTATTATAAAGCGTTTAATTTTTATTTGAAGAATTTTTTTATAACCGTTATATGTAGTTTCTAAAATGTACAGGAAAACGTAAAAATATATACATAACAATCTTTGACAGATACTTCTATTAGAATGAAAAACTAAACAATTAATCCTTTTATGAAGGTTCTGTAGAAACAGTTAGAAAAGCTCCATCGATTGCTATTAGATACTCGCGACTATAAAGTTCATTCATCTGTAACCGATAGTGAGCTTGGACAGGTTTGATCATAGACGAGATATAGAGTAGACCAATCACTTTATGGAACTTTTTGCCACTCGATTTGCAATACCGACGTCAGCCAAAACCATTGATTTTGAAGTGCATTCACCGCTTAAGAACGGAGATTTTAAGAATTGCACTGGGCGAAACCAAAGACGAGGTACATATAGACAAGACCAATCATTTTATGGGTTTTTTTTTGTCACGATCTGCAATACCGACATCCGCTCAAACGACTGATTTTAAATCGCACTCTATGTTTAAAAACTGTATCGGGGAAAACGATCGATGTTGGTCAGAAAATAATACCAGAAAATTAGCGTTCCAGACGAGATTACGTGTGTATATTGTTACTGTACTGTCCATGCATCCTTGAATCTAGAAAGGCGAATGCGTGTGGATACAAACTTCTCCGCGCAAATATTTCAACTCTCCATGTCGTATTCGCGTGACACGCCTAACAGAATTAAAGGGACTTGAAATTTTGTCTTCTTCATTATTTAAAATAACAAATGCCTATCGGTGTTCTTGATTTAAATTCCTACCGCTAATAGCGCAGGCGATACAATACCAGTCTCAATCGATATAGTAGGATATGACACGAAAATGGTAACGGGGCTCTAGAACCCTGGCTGCGTGCGACAAAAAAATACATCGAATGAGTGGTCTACTCCATATCTTGTCTATGGTTTGGTTATTGAATCAGTAACCGATTGTTACGAATACACAATAAACTTAATACAACCAAATACAAAGTTGAACATGATACGAACCTATGATTGTTAGATGAATCCTTGAATTTCTGGTTGGACTTTTAGCAAAATCTACCCGACACCTGTATTCACCTTCGTCTTTTTCTTCGATGTTATTGATATTTAAGGTTGCCGGTTCAGCGGCAGTTCTGAAGAATGCTCGGTCGTTTAGATGATCTTTGTCGTTCCAATGCGAAGCCTTCTCAGAATGTTTGCCTCTCATATCATAACTGAAACAAAATGTTGTTCACTTAACGCTACAATTGTTTAACTACTCAAGTCAACTGAAACCGCTAACAATGAAACATTTTGCTTAATATCTTTCGCAAAGTACATAACCTAAAAATAAAGCTGATAAAGTATATTTCTATTATAGAGGGCGTTGATGATTCTTTTTTAAAACTTCATCGTATTGTCATATCCTCAAATATTTTGGGAGGACACACTGAACTCATCACCTTCGAATTCTCCTCTCAACTCTCTTACATAGTCATAACCCAAAGTTCATCTTCCTCAAACCCTTAAATAGCCCTATTTTACCATCCTCGATTTATTCTCTGTATTGTCATCCACACGTCACGTTCCGCCAGTTTTAATAAAGTTTGTCTTCTACGCAACGTCGATCTGTAATTGCTCCGATTTAAATGTTACCCCAATACCTGCCCTCAGTTTCGAGAAATTGAAACTGGGCATCACAGTATGAATGGGCCTTCTGTAGTATGAGAGCAAAAAATCTAGCCCCACCCCAAACGTGGAAAATGGAGGGTATCTTCAATTTTTGAAATGGAATGTACGATAAATTTTTATATTTTCCTGGTCCTTACTAAACTAACAATACTTAACTTTTACTTGAAACGTTTTTCAAAATTTTTCACGTTCCAAACGTTATAACTGTTTAAATTGTCTGTACCAGGATTCTAATTTCGGTACATATTGCATTTGTTGGACCTTAGCCACATATGTGTTGATAGTACAGACAATTCAAACCGTTATAACTTTTGATACGTGGAAAATTTTGAAACAAATTTCAAGCAAAAGTTACTTAGTTAATTAACGACTACGTAAATACAGGATGTTTCGGCACAGGCAGTGCAACAGGGCGAAACAAATCGAAAATATAGAGTAACGATTTTTTGTTTGCGGTTTCGTTTTGGTGGAAAATAAGTTTGAAAATTCTTCGCGTAATTTGGCCTGCAAGATTACCGGACCTCACGACTACATTAGTATTGTTCCCACACTATAAATGACCCCTTCGTACGATGCAGTTTCAAAAACGAATCACCTCGGTACCATTAATAGGTGCGTAGATGGTTTCGTTGGACACCCTGTACATCAAACGGTACAAATATAATTCTCACTTATTAACAGCGCCACTGATATTATTCAGTATTGACGAGAATTTTATGCTGCTAGTATAATCCAGGCGCGCTCAAATACAGCGAACCATCGCGATTAATGTTTCAGCATAAATGAATTCATGCTGTCGCAATTGCTGGAAATTGTACGAATTCACACATTGGGAAATCGCGGGTCAAGAGTCGTATCCGATTTCTATCAATTAAAGCACAGAATGCGCAATTGTGTCCTTAAATCCCTGGTACTCGCCCGGTAGACTAGCGAGCTAGAGGCAGATGGTTTTTCTCAAATAAATTTGTTAAACGTTCACTGAGAATTTCAACTCTTCAACCGGCAACAGATTCAATTACTTTCTGCTCCTTTACGACAGATCCTTTCTCTGATCTCTACACCATAGGAAACGGATCATTAGGACAAAAGAAATGTACAATGTGACCGAAAATAGCGGAGAATTAGTGTCCTATGTAGTTGTTGTCTTAGGTTACAACATTATTATAATTTAATGTTTTGCAGAAAAGAGATAAACAATCCGTTAACCAAACAGCTGTCTAAATCGCTATTTACGTAACAGAAGTTGCTTCACGTTTAATTGGTATAAATTTTGGAATATTGGACGATATAAACCGTCATTCCTATGGAATACAGCTTTAAATCTTCTAATTTCGAAGTGTGGAGAAGAATTTCAATTTTCTTTCATGTAAATATGTATCGCGAAATAAACAAATCATTCGTTTCACTTGTTGCATTTATATTAAGAACTTTCATTATTTAACTTATATGCAAATTAACATTTTTTTAAATTAGAAAACTGTAAGGGGCGATTCTAGAAGTTAAAATGAGACGAAAATCAAGAATAAAAGAATTGCGTTTGAGGCTTCCTTTTTTAATTAATTACAATTAAAGATATCCCCGTGACCGAGCAACCCTCTATACACCAATGAATGTAGAGCACGTAAGACAGGGGGAGTACAGTGATTCTCAAAACTAACGATACACGATCGGCACTTTATCTCGTATCAGTCATAGAGAAAAAGACACGATTGTATCTCACACGTGGAATAAACTTTGCGCCAGGAAAGTGTTAAAAAAGACTACGTATTGAATTTTAGCAATGTTTATTCGTTCGGTAATTCTGTTTAATCTGTCTAGCTGATATACAAAAATGTTTTACGAAAATGAGCCATTTCACGTCAAATCAATTGCTCTCAGTTACCGATTTTTTTTCAAACTCACAGGATTTGTTGATAACCTTGAGAAACTAAACCGTGTAAAATTTTAGCTTCTATTCTCAAATGGTTTTCGAGATGTTCAATGTTAAATTTTTTTTAATTAGACGAAATTAGTCGACATGTTATTTCAATCGTAACATTTTGGATTTGTTTAAAGATAATACTACGACTTTGGGCTCATTTTAAAGCTAAAATGATATAAAATTTCATTTATTATTAGCAAACACAATTGTACTATACATAATTGAAAGGTCTAAACTAGAATACTCCTTGAACGGTCCTACGATCTTCTTTCAAACGAAATGGCTTAGTATTGCACCTTGCTCAACTCTTATCGATAAACGCTATCATACTATGAATAAAAACATACAGCGCCTATTTAAGAAAAAAATCAAATCGACTGTGAAATTTCTTCCTCTACTCCACCTGAAGAAACATTATAGTACTGCACAATTCCACCATTTACCGTTAAAATCAACATTATGTACGCGAAATATTGCACTGTGAGTCTAAACTTGCGCTTACTTGCAACATGATAACTTATACAAATGAAAAACTCTCGAAAGTTTTACTTGCGCCATTTGAAACAGTATAAAATAAGTTTCCTGTATAAAGATTTTTGCTGAAATTTGGCGATAAATTTTGACGGAGATGCAATTTTTCTGAATTTCTTAGACCTGGGAAGCCCAGAGAAATGCATGAAAATTGCATGGGAAATCTAAATTGTATAAAAGTATATATTGATAGAAAATACGATTCCCTTTATTTTTTGGCGCAAGTTGTATTCCGATATCTTATTTCGATGAAAAGTTACAGCTGCCGGCGAGTTTCGCAAACTGACCAGTAGAAAATCCAACACTTGGAATCGATGCTTCCGCTACGACTCTACGTATCTGTAAAATTTAGAACAAATAGGTCTCCGGTGTTTTATATACGTATTTTGCTTAGGGCCTTTTTAAATTGTGTCTGACATTGGGAAATATCCTACGATAAGCAAATATATAAATAAGGAGAAGTTGCGTTAAAATTGTCCAGAAAGAAAACGAATACAAAAATGTTTTACTTTTCCACGCGATAGAATTCGAAACAATGGCGTAACTTTTGGAACTACTCTCTATTGATGATATATTGACACAAGATTTATCAATGCAGAAAAATTATAAAGAATTGGTATACAGTGTTGCGGCGAAGAAACAGTTTAACGTCAAAAAAGAAAATTTGTTGAACTCATGTTTGTACAATTATTTTCATCCTTCAGGTGAACAACAAATGCTTCCAAACATTGCTGACTAATTTCCAATTTTATCTACTCTGTAAATCGACTAATGGAAATTATAAAACATTTTATGAATTTTCGTTCAATCTAGAGGATTTACGGGTTAAACAGCGAAACATCTATTCACGAGTTCTCACTAAGATTTCTATTCCTACAACTGTCCGTCGCCGAGAAGATGAATAGTGTAACTGGACCAAACGACTTCAGTTTGCTTTTCAGAAGTCAGAAGGATTAGTTTACTATATGACATGTAAATGATATTGCAATCGGTGGGAATCGCGAAGAAAATTGTAAAGGTCACCTTTTACAACTTTTTTATCTGAGCTTGTAAAGAATTTTTAAAACATAAGTTTTGTAGATTTATGTCAATTACATCGAAAGATGTAAGAATCTTTAGATTTATTAGTTATAGGCGTGAAATAGTGCGATTTTCACAATCGTTAACCGTTTGTAGCTCATAACAGTGATAAACGATTTCGATGAAATTTTCAGCATGTACATAATTGACACGAACCTCAAAAACATGTGTCTTAAATTTTCATTACCGGCTCAGATAAAAAAAAGTTGTAAAAAGGGACCTTTACTATTCACCTTGTGATTCCAGCAAATTGCAATTTTTTCAAAATTTGTTTTATACGTCATCTAGTAAACTAATCATTCTAATTTCTCAAAGAAACTCAAATCGTCTGGTCCAGTTTTGAAAAAATTATATTGTTCTAAAGAATGTCCGAATATTAATAAGAGACACCGTACTCTTCGTTCAAAATAAGAATAACCTCGTTTCGCGCATTGGACGTGCCTAAGGCAGGGCTAGAACGTCCAAACCCCCACTTAACCGTCTACGTTTTTCTCCGTCTTACCCTCTGCCACGTTCTCTGTCTACGCGCAAAACGGACGAGAATCGGCCCGAGAGCGAGGTTATTCTTACTTTGAACGAACAGTAGGTAACCTTACTGACGAATCCACTCAGGATGAAACGCATCTTTCACCTCCTCCCGCCCATTTCTGCCCTCCTTTCCATCCATCTCCACTATCCTGCCACTCTCTTTCTCCCTCGCCCCCTTTCTTCGTCTCTCCCTCACCCTAACCGCTCTCCTCTCGCCATTCTTTCTCTCTCTCGCACTCCCCCTCTTTCCTTCTCTCCTCTCTCCTCTCTCACGAATTGCCATAATATAAATCCAAACGTTTACACAATAAATTTCGAAACAGACAGATTACAACTTCTTATCAGCGTCCATTTCTCTCAATTACTTAGGAATTAAGCTTCTCCGTTATACGCGTAGTTTCTCAATGCTTATTAATTTAAATTGCACGCGGGATTATCACTCACCTGTAAATAGGTGTAATATCACTTTTGTACCAAACAACCAAAATTGCAGAGTCGTTTTGTCGTGGAGGACGTATGTCACATGGCAATTCTGCTGTACCTTGAAGAACTGCTCTCGCCGATATAGTTGGTCCTGTAATACAAAATATCGATCAAATAGTTAGAATCTTCTCTTTTGCAACAAAGTCAAAAAATTTAAAAAGTATGTACGTCACATTATGTCACTCTCCATATCATGCAAGTTTCGCGTGTAACATTTTTCCATATTACTACAAATAACAGAAATATTCCAGATGGACACAGTTTTTGCACCACCCTGTACAATTGTATTGATGCAAGCAGAACGTGTACCGTGTAGAGCTGAGGAGGTTGCCCCCGGAAGCAATGAGGGTCTGATTGGGCCATATCCCCATAAGCTCACCTCTGACACAATCATAAAAATAGGGTACATGTATCGTCGTTATATAAATGACGAATCGAATCTTTTAAAATTGCGTGACGCATAGATTTAGGCCAGAGCCGCTTAACTTCTTGCTCACGAGCAAATTTCCCCTCCCGAGGTTCCTCCACTATGCGACTGAGATGGTCTCGCTCGAGTGTGGCGCGGCGGGAGGAGGACGCGAGGAGTCCTCCCACCACAACTCCAGCGACTGCCGTTGGTTTATGTCACACATTCTGCGTGTTCGTAGCGCATAGTGGGGGAATCTCGGGAGGGGAAATTTGCTCGTGAGCAAGAAGTTAAGCGGCTCTGATTTAGGCAATGCGAGCAAACTGCCCTTCTTGCCCCCGTGTTGCCCTGCGGGCAAAGTCCTGAGCACCGCACGCGGTACGTTACTCTCGGGTCATTACGTCGTAATATTAATTTTATTTGCATTTAGTAGAAGGCTACTACCCTGTCGTGTAATTTATACGCACAAAGGATTTATGATATTATTCTTTTCGTTTGTTTTTGCTTCCCGTTTTTACCTAGCGAGCAAACACGGCTATTATAAGTTGGAACATGCAGCAGAATAACGTATTACATATGGACGAATTTCTCGATGAAAACATTATTCATGTATTGTTTCATATAAAATATTACCGTGCGCGGTAAATTTATCGCAAATATGTTTCTCGCAACAATGCGAATAGTAATTCCTTTCGAAACCTACGAGTATTTCTCATTAGGGAATCTTTCAGCTTGTTAAAAATTTACCAGCGGTATAAAGTAAGTATAGCGAAGGACTTCATTTCATATGTGGCAATTTATTTTCTGCATACAAGGAAAGTTTCAACCGGAATATTACGATTTCAATGAAACGTTAAGTAAATGTAGAATGTGGTTGAATATGTAATAAATAATTTCTTTTTATCGATGGAAATTCACTTTGAAATTGTGAAATAAGTCCATGAAATATTTACGGCTTTTCGTTGTTCCGGATATTCCGCGACGATGAACAATTTTGTGAAATTTTAAGTGGATAAAATATCTACCATGTGTTATACCGAAATTTATATTTTTCCTGTATCTATGCGCAAGGTTCTAATTGTACAAGATAAAAATAATCACCTTCAGCAAACAGTTTATCAATTTGCATGATATTTGGTGACTTATTGTTATAAAAATTTACTTCACAACTACACGTCAATAATTGCAACGTAAGAACTTACTAACAACATTTGTTTATTAAGAAAATAACTTTTTTAAAGGTGAAACACGTTTCTGTACAAGAATTCAGTAAAGAATTACATAGAGATAATTAAATTTTTTGACAAGAGAGAGTATCAAATTATTAAACTTAGTCATAAAATGGCGAAATTACGAAACACGTAATATTAGCTCCAGTATTTTAAAGATTGTTAGAAAAGTGAGACTAATATATTTATACGCTTAAAGATATAGAAACGAAAATGTTGAAACTGCACGTATACTGCAGAGTAGGATTAACAAGGAAAATTTCTTCTATTTTGTTATATTTAAATATGTAGGGGATTTATGTGTGGAGGGATAGTAAACTCGAACGGACTTTTGACTATACTATATTTATTAATAGTTTATATCGCTAGGTGCTACGCTAAGCATGTCGCTCAATCAATCGCTGGATTCACACTCCCTTTCGCTCCCTCGCATTCGCCCTAATGTCATCTTGCATACATGCACACTTTTCGTTAGAAGAAAACACACACGCACTCACGCACTCCTCGCCTGATTACTAAAACTAAACATTCGTTCAATATCTTTCGCGCTATCCCAAACACTCGACCTGGCACGCCGGTCCTTACCGCTCCGGCCATAGACCCTCACGCATTCACACAGACAACGCATTCATACAAACAACGCATCCACGCACCCGCAGGTAGGGCCCCACTCCTTCCAAGGAAAAGCGCGCTAAGGGCGCAATGGAAGGGTGAGTGCCACTCAAGGGGTATGTTGATTGGTAATTTATGCGTACATGAAAACCCAATCAGCGTGCCTTCTTGTACTTGGCGGGGGAGTCACGGCGGACTCCGGAAAAAGGTTGGGACTCGAGAGACAATTCGCAAGGAGTCACTCGTGTGAACAAGATACTCTCTCCAGCCGTTCAAGTACAATTCGAGTCGTTGAAACAAAGTCGTCAATCGTTCGTGACGCACTCTACGTTTTGCTAACGTTCGAGCAAGGTAGATTTGAACTAGTTACCCAAGATTAGTTTGGCGGGTAATAAGTCGTGACGCGAACAGTTTGAAACGATCAAACGACGAACGCGACGCGACACGCACTCACGCACTCCTCGCCTGATTACTAAAACTAAACATTCGTTCAATATCTTTCGAGCTATCCCAAACACTCGACCTGGCACGCCGGTCCTTACCGCTCACGTCATAGACCCTCACGCATTCACACAGACAACGCATTCATACAAACAACGCACTCACGCTCCGTCATCCCTACAAATATTATTCTAAATTTATTCTAAACGAAGGAAAAATATTAATTTATTTCAAAATTATACATGGTAGAAGAATTGATTTTCTACAGTGCAATAAAGATTAAAAACTAAATAACTTATTCACTTAAAGTTTCACAAAATTAAATTGAAACTAAATAAATACTTCTCACGACTCTTAAGTTTCCTCATAACTTCATAGCTGTATCACTGTGAAAGTCTTTCTAATTACAACGAAGGTGACAATAGAATTGACAGTAAGTTCAACTACTGTTTTGCTTCGATCGTGCACTTTCAGTTCTAGCTTACAAAGATGGTAGCCTAAGCTGATAATCCGTGGCCAGACAGAGACAAGAAACCTTACAATTATGTTCAGTCTCACCCTAACCCCGTGCAAAAGCGTCACCTTCTATTTTTTTCGCCTCATATCTACGAAATATTTTAGATCTTCTAGAACTGTCATGCTTATTTATATACTTACATTTTAACTAAATTGTAATTGCACCCAAAATTGTTTTGAATGTTTCATAGAAGGAGCATTGAAAATAAATTTCTTATCATAAAAGAAATTGGAAATACATCATTCATAATTGATATTTAAACTTCTAAAACATTGCTAAACTTTCATTGAAAAACAGTGTTTAACGAAGTGAAAATAAATCTTAGTTTCACTTTTAAATCATTCAGAAAGAGTGCAGTCAATTGATTAAAAGGAAATATTTTCTAAAAGAAATACATTGACAAGAAACATTTGAAACTGAACACATGGCCTTAACAGTGCGAGCAGAAGCAACAGTTTGTACAGAATGTTTAAATTCAATTTCCTCGAATATTAAGCTTCTTACAAAAAAATGTTATTCTGTGTTTTTGGTTTATTTTCACACGAAGAATCGCCGTCTACCCGATTGTACCACGCGTTCTGCCTTACTCTGTATAATTTATAGATAAATGTTATTATTGAATCAGTGCGGCACAAATACTACACGATGCGTCACAAAATATTACAATATATATTTCGCGTCGCTCTCTCCAGAGAGTTCCACTAAAGTCGAGTGTGTTATAATTGTTGTGTGCGCTTCGAAAGCTAAACGAGTTCTTTTTTTCGAGTGTCTATGTTCGCTCTTTTTTAAACTAGATGTGTGTTTTGCTTGGTGGTGTGAATGTGGAGGAGGTGGTGGAAGTGTGTGGTGATTGGGTTTTTCGGGATGATTGAGGGGTGTCTGTCTGATGGTGTGGAAGTGGGGAAATTGTTGTTGCATAGATTTGTTATATTGCTGTGTACATAGGATTACTGGTGTCGAGGGTCTGTTTTACGGTCTTGACGCATGTGGTGTCCGGGTCGAAATTTTTACTGTAATAGAGCAATTGACGGGCCATGCCGGCTAAGACTTCTCTTTAGAAATACTGTTTCTATGGAAAAGGCGTCGGTACGCCCGAACACTAGATTTGAAGTATTCATGAATATTATGAACTCACGAACTGGAGGAGATATTAATCCTCTCCACCCGGAAATCCCATAGGTAGGGCTTTTAACGTAAATTTTTCGAGTGAAAAGTAGCTTATTTTATCGTAACACAATTTGTACCTTGATAGCAATAATACTGCTTTAACTGTAGTGGCAACTGTTAATGATAATCAGCGTAAACTAATAGAATTTACAAGAGCTATTAGCTTATCCTGTGAAAGGATCGAATATTTACAGTGGTATAACTGCATGCGGTCTTGAAAGTCGTACAAATTAGCATAGATAGAGTATCGGATAGAATAAATTAATAATAGAATTGATAATCCGAAAATCGTATTCTATCATAATCTCCTAATTGTCTTACAGTAAGAATATGTCACAATCTTTCTCCGTTTTCCAACTTACCAACTTTGTAATTTATGATAGGAAGACAACGTCGATTTAATTTCCTTCCTAAAATTTATGGAAAACTGTGTGCTGCTCATTAAAATCTTCTCGTTGTCTATCTCATTAATTAGACTGTGGTCCATTATTCTTCATCTTTAAGCGAAGCATGACAACTTCTGTTAGAAGAAAAACGTCGCTTATGTCTCAAGTAACAAGAATAATGTTGTAATACGAATCTCAAGAAATTGGAGATTCTCCTCGATCATCAGATGTTAACCACGGTTTCGCGCTGTTAATCATTCTGTTACCTACGTGTTCAATCAGCAGCTCCGAAAAATTCCACGAATCGAAGATTTTTTCAAATTTTCCTTTAAA